ATGTGTTGTAACAAATCTATTGTTGTATTCTAGTAAAACATGGATGGTAAACCTTATTTTAATGTTCATTTTCTAGTGATAGTTGATGTTAACAGTTTGTTATTGAGTAATAAAATGTGTTCATTTTGATTCTAACAACCATACTATACTTTAATTTTTCATGGTTAAAGTTTCTTTTGTACATACTGCATACTTCTCAGGTAGTTCCTACACCCTGTAGTTTCAGGTACTAACATGCATGTTAACCAATTATATTTCCAGCTATAGGTTACACTATGAAAACAAAAATGTGGGACTTCCAAAAGGGCCGTTTTGCCTTTTTTTATAAGATATAGAATTCAAGACTATTCACAGTCACACTTCGATTCAGTCTCCTCAAAATCCCATGTAAAAATCTATTAATTATGCTGCAAGTCTTTAAAGAGTTGGAATAATTCAAAAGCATCATCAGTACTAGCAGGGTATTCCAAGTTTTGCATTTCCAAAACATGCTCAAAATATTCTTGATATGGATTGTTTATTGCATCTTGCTCGCATTGCTCTTCTACTTCGGCTATTTTTCCTTGTGAGACAGGAAAAAGGCAATCAAGACTACCACTTTGCTCTGGTAAGTAATACAGAATGTCAGGAACACCAGGTACAGTGTCATGACGTGACCTCCTTATATAATGGCTATTCCATTGATCTTTTACCTTGTCAAGCTCATCTTGAATAAGCTTAGAGTAACAAAACCACAAGCAATGCATTTGGAACTCATTGCCTAATTCAAGAACACCAGAATCACACATGTCTTTAAACAGATTCATCCACCACCCAGAGTTACTCGTTCGGAAAAATGACCACCAACCTTCAATTCGTTGATTAGAAGGCGACGATCCGTACTGGTGAGATTTTGCACCTGAAAATTCATCATTTCCAGTAGCTCTAAAATATGCCTGCATTCCAGCAACAATAACATTTTCTGTCCCACAATCGGACCGCAGAAACTGGGGACAACCTTTCAATGACATAACTGTATCAAGGTACAACTGTGCAATAACTTTGGGATTGTTATTTGACTTGACAAGCTGTAACCAAATAATCCTACTAAAACCGCAAATGCATCCATGAATAGGAAAACCATAGGGTTTCAGCTTGTCATATCCTATAAAATAACATCAAAGGGCAATCGCATTGTCTCATTTGAAGAACGTTTAAAATTATCTACAAAATATCTTGTTACGAATTTTTTAATCTTGCATGATTGTTGAAATATTTTTACTGAAAGCAATCTGGGATTATTGAGGATATGCATATTACATCACAAATGAAGTTACACAAGTTTTTTTATCTTGGCAGCCAGTGAACAATATGAACCTGAAACATGTTTTTGGTTGCTATTTCAAATTTTAAATTTAATTAAAACATGCATTTTCAATTAAACAACTTTTAATTGTTACTGAATTTACTAGATGTAATTTTATATATTAGGCTAACCCTACTCCAGATGCCATCAAAACAATAGTTAATGACGTTAAGAATTAATCGAAGATGGTCACCGACAGGTCATAACTTTCAGTCAAAAAATTAAACAAAGAGTTAAAGAGTTAAGCTTGATACGGAAAAATCTCTAACAAGATTATATATATAGATTACTTTAAACTTTCTTTCAAATGAGACAATAAAAATTTTGTTTTCACTGTCCTTGAAGTGAAAAGGCAACTTGGGGGGAGGGGGTGGTATAAGCGAAATGTCATTTTAATACAACATGAGACCAAACATTTAAACACTTTTAGGGGGTCGGATTAGTTATTACGTATTGTTTTTCCAACCACCCAATTCAAACTAAATAAACTCTAAAATGCTGCGTAAGCGCCTTAGATAACACCGGGCTTGCCAAATTTGGTCACAGAAGGCAACAAATCGCATGGACCAGTTGTGCAATCATTGCAACTTGTCACCTTGGTGTGGTAGGACCAAAGCAGACCTATATAATGTACATACTTTAACTGAACATAGGAACATGTTTCACGATGGCCGATGCCAAGAAAACGCAACACTTACCATCTATATGCCAAGTGAAATTAGGTCCAAACGATATGAAGTTACGTCTAGTCAAGCGTCTAGCTCTTCGTTCCCTGACACCCTCAGGGTCAATTTCCTTCATAATAGTGGCAACAACTCTGCGTGGGACACTAATATGATGTCTCAATCGTAAGGCATGCCACATGTATCGATAACCTCCAAGTTTTCCAGCATCCTGCATCTCTGTGGTGATAAGCTCACGAACAGTTGCTTCATCGTAATTGCTTTCCCTTCGCCTTAAACCGTACTCGCGTAGTTTTCTTTTAAGTGTACGTATATGGATCTTCACGCCATGATACTTTTCAAGCAGACCAAGAATTGAGGTATACTGATAACCTCTATTAAAATAGCCTTCGATAATATTTGGGAGATTGTTTTCAATATCCTCGGCGCTTTGATTGATAATGCTTGAACCACACTCGTGACAATAATTTGCTTCGTGTAAAACAGCAGTTCCACATGAACAACAAAACATTCTTTTGTATATCAAGGTTTCAAAAACTATTTTGCCATACTGCAAGGGTTACACTAAGTACTCCTCTTTGTGCAGTGGTTTTCTGTGGGCTCAGTCCTGTATAAAATTCTGAAGGCTTTTAATACGTAAAATTCCGAAGGCCCTTGTATAAAATTCTGAAGTCTTTACGTAAAATTCTGAAGGCCTTGCATAAAATTCTGAAGGCCTTGCATAAAATTCTGAAGGCCCTTGTATAAAATTCTGAAGGCCTTGCATAAAATTCTGAAGGCTCTTGTATAAAATTCTGAAGGCCTACATAAAACTCCGAAGGCCTTGCATAAAATTCTGAAGGCCCTTGTATAAAATTCTGAAGGCCTTGCATAAAATTCTGAAGGCCTTAAATAAAATTCTGAAGGCTGAATGGGCCTATGATAGCCGAAAATACATCATGGCGTTCACCGAGCGGCGGGACATGGCAGTTTGATTCTAAGATGCTATCAGTTACATGGCATAGTAAAAGTGAAAATATTTACTTCAAAGGTGAAAAGGGCGGCGATCTCACCACACGAGTATATTCCTACGTAAATCTGGGGCTCGGGGAGAGTGATCAAACGGTGGTGAGTGGAAGTCCTACAGAAACCGAGCTAGCAAAGTCCATCGAAAGTCTGTTAGCTAGCAAGAATGAACATATGAATGATATTAATAAAACTAAAGATATGCCAACTAACGAGGGAGCTAGCGAGGATGAGAACACGAGTGATATTGAAAAAACCGAAGATACATCAACTAAAGAGGGTAATCCTGTGAAGGCTTCAAATCGACATCTTGATTTCAGTAACAGTATTGTTCATGAAGCCCAAAGTTCAAAGGAAGAAACGAACACAAACTTGTCAACAAGTGTAAATTTGCATAAAGAACCAATGAATTTGCATACAGTGCCTCATTTCTATATTCCTTTGGGAGACCCGAACAAAAACAATAATCCGGAGTTTGAAATCGGAGCATTGAAATTTAAGCTGGAGAGCTTTGCTGAGAACGTCAACAGCAAATTTCAAGCTCTTACAAAAGAAGTGGCTGACATTAAAGAAAATAAAGTTTATCCATTATAATTCTCGAGAACACTGTCCATGAATTAAAGAAAGAGAAATATGACCTAATCAAAGCTAACAACGACTTAAGAGAGAAGAACGAAGTATTACATCAAAAAATTTCGGATTTTAATTCGACAGTACCAGGGGCGTAAATGTGGGGGTGTGGGTGTGGGGGGGGGTGGTCCCCCCCCCCCAGAGAAATGATCCAGTCGGTCTCAAACTACGTGCAGTCGGTCTCAAAATTATGTGTTCGTTTACACGCAGTGTTTTGCGAAGCAAATGAAATATTTTCGAAACTCGAGATAGACTCAGACTATTGAGTATTGAGTTGGAAATTTGCTCAAACGGATCAAACAGCTCAGAAATAATATGAAGAAATATTACGTACTTATTTCGCGAGTTTATGAACGAATTATCAGTCAAAACACGCGCAAAGGGATGAAGTTTCCATTTACTTTCCAAGCATGGAGATATCTACTTTACGATTACGTGCTGGCACATTTATTTGGAATTTAGGTTCTGCAACGTCATTCACGGGTGATATTCTATATTAGCGAAAATTTCAAACCACCAAAATCAGACTCCAAAACGCGATGAATTTCGATCAAAATAGCTAACATTAGTTACAATATTTCCCCGGTCCCTAAACTATATTTTTAAAATGAAAGTGCAAAAACGAATTTCTAGCCGGGTTATATTAGGAAGTATGTTCACATGTAACACAATATGCATATGAATTTTGTTACCAAAGAGTTTTTTGTGCCTACTGCAATCAAGAAATTCGATCAGTGAACGACGCACTGGTTTATCTGAAATAACGGAGAGAAAAATTGTTTCCACTGACTATGAGCGATGTTTCCAATTGTTGCTTCCAGTCAGGCCCATAACTAGGTATATGAGTCAATCGAGTTCAAGTTCAATGACACACGGTAGATCTCTCCATGTAAAGAAGCATTATTCTTGCAGTGACGTAAGAAATGGGAGGCTGTGTGGGTGCACAAGTACCCCAATAACAAAAGTGCGGGCCAGCGCCCAAATATTACAACAATTGAGCACAAACGCTTTTTTATTATGCACCTGATCAATGATGTTCGACCAAAAATATTTGTAATTCTTATCCTCAGGATTGGGGGCAAACTACAGTATAAAATTATAGTCATTGTGTCACTGTAATATGAAATTGATTTTTCCTTTGAACTGCTCCAAGAATGCAGGAAATAGCGTTTCTAAGCCTTAGAAAATCAAAAATTTTCTGGGGGAGCATGCCCCCAGACCCCCCCAGAAGTGTCTCGGTCAATAAAAAATCCTATAGTTACGCGCCTGACAGTTCCGCATCAGGCGAGCACAGCTTTTCAAAGATGAAATCAGTGAAAACTGCGATGTGTACAGTAATGAACCAGGAACGCCTTGGTGAACTCTTGACTCTTGCGTGTGAGCGCGATCTAACAGACACGATCGATCTTCAGACAAAATCCGTGGTCAAACCTTACTAAGCGCGGACACTTAATAAAAATATAACGTTTCACAGCAAACTGTACGTGTTTTTGCAAAATTCCTAATAAATGCCATCAATTTCCATGCTTTGTACTCAATTTTATTGCAACTCACCAAGAGTCGGTCTGGATTCACATTTCATTGATGGGTCGGTCTCATTTTGTGACTTCACCCTCCCAGTCAAAATCGATATGTCCGCCCCTGGACAGTACAAAGATTGGAAGATGAGAAGCAGAGTCTAATCACAACCCTAAAGCTAGTTCAAAAGGAAACTCAAACTGTTCAGCCGGATTTAAATGACAGAATGCAAAACCTTGAAAACGAAAATAAGAGCTTATCAACGGCATTAACACTCTTGCAACACGAATAGGGGGATTCAAGGTTTCCGACGCCATTGGCTCAGGGGGTGCAAACACATTGGGGCGAGCGCGCGGCCAGCGCCATTTCCCATACTATTTCCTATTAGGAGTGGGAAAATTATGTTTGCACAATTTGTTGAATTTCTGCAAAAGTATTAAAGAATCGTTCAATTTTACAAGTTGTGATCAATTTCTGGGTATTTTCTGATGTCTGTACGGGTTTTCATCCGAATCAAAGCCCTGGAAGTGTTAAAATATGGCGAGTTCGTTGGGACGTTTTGCGAGCTGTTTATTATAGTTTAGTATTGTTTACATGTCAGCGTGTATATGAAAACATTTGGTTCCTTCGAGATTTAGCACCCGAAATGGATGAAATTTTCGCTGAACATAAATATTTATCATACAGGAAACCACATGGAGTGCGAACATGTAATTTGATATCTCGTGCGCCTGGCCAGTGCTATTTTGTTGCTTCAAAACCTGCAGTAATATGTGTTTATATCAGTGGTGTCGCATATTTGCAGTTGATAGCTTCGCTTTGCGATTACAAACTACGTCTACAGAACGCCGTTGAACGTTTTTGTTGGGAATAAAGTTAAATACTTGTTATTATCTGTTAAACTGTTTCTCTAAAAGGAGTTTATAAGTGTGCGCCAGTTATATTGTGTGGAGTTTTGAATGAACTTTACTGGAGACTGGAGTGTTTAACTCGTATATGCTCCAAGACCAAATGCTCTTGCAATCAGTTAGCATTTGAATCAGTTTGCTTGAAGCCACGAATACCAAGGAAGTCTTCACTAAGCCTCGGTATTGCAAAATATACACGATATACTTCACCAGTATACACAGTATATTTTGTATACATACTTTACTGTCATATTCTCATCTATTATGTCTATACACAATGTACATGTCTATAGTCAAAACTGTATATATTGTATATTCTCGCTTTTATCAACTTGCTAGTCTAGTTTGTATATACACAATATACATGTCTATAGTCAAAACTGTATATATTGTATATTCTCGCTTTTATCAACTTGATTGTAAATATGAATGCATGTCGATATGTAGGAAGCCTTGTTTTGTAATCAAATATTATATTACACATTTTAGCACTCAAACCGGTCTTATAGTTCAGTTATATTTATAAGTATAAGTATAAGTAATAAAGGCATGTTTCCTCATTTGATACATATGACAGTCATATGTCATAAAGGCATACATGTTTCCTCGTTCTTAAAAAGATCCCGCTTTATACTTAATTTAAACTTAAAGGCATGAGTAAACTGACATTCACTCAAACACTCCCTATACAGTACTGATAATATACGTATTGGTCCGTCAGAATCGTACACTCCTTTAGCCAAATGTAGTCTGACCCGTAATCGTATAGTTTTGAATATTTATTATACAAACTGACACTGATATTGATACTTGTACGGAGTACTATTCGATCTATTAAAGTTATATACAAAATAATTATAAGTAAAGAGTAATAATATAAGTGTACTTTTATGGTAATATGGAAAATGGTAACCACTCACTAACACAGATTTTACTTAATGCAAGAGTGAACCCAAATTTTAGAGAGAGATGCGGTGCAACACCTTTAACACTTGCAGTGTTAAAAGGGGATGAAAAAATGGTAAAACTTCTCATAGATAATTTTTCCATTTGTGAAGACAACTATTTTTCATCAGTACCAGGGCCTAGGCAGATTGCTTCTAAGCTGGGGTTTGAAAACATTGTTACCATTATTGACGACTTCCTGGCCAATGAAAACCAAACAGATCTTGAAGTCTGGGAAGTTACCTCTCATAGCCCAAATGAACCACTTGTCGTGCTTAATGATGAAACTGCTGTTGAGACAAATAAACTCGGTTACTACAGTAGGAATATAACGAACTGTAAAACCATAATCGTTGGCGATCAAGGCACAAAAAAGATGATTAGAAGTGTTAAAAATAAATCTCAATCCACTTATAGTTGGGCAGCAGATGTCCCTGGAGACATGCATACTAGAGGTACAGTACATGTACTTTGTCTGATACTATTAATTTTCAGACCTTTGTTTCTAAACCCTCATAAATAGGGTCGGCACGAAGCTCTAGGAAGATGTTCTGTGATTGGTTGATTATGACAATGACAAAAGAATAAGCTATAGAATGGATTTTCTAAAGAACGAAGCAAGAACAATATTCGTTTTGTTTATGTAAGCCAATTACGTCTATTGTCATAATCAACCAGTCACAGAACATCGTCCTAGAGCTTCTTCGTGTTTACTGCGTAATGTTGCAAATATTTGAATTTCATATCTGCTCATAAACAATTAGCTTTTCTCACGCCCCTCATTTTTTGGTATACTTATCATAATAACCTTTTGTTCCATTTGTGGTGCTTATACTTTGAAGCTTGGAAAAAACAGTAATTTCAAAAATGGCGGATAATTAAATCCAGCGTGAGAGAAAAGCTAAGTAATTCTTTCCTTGGTGAACAAGCCTGCTATATCCAAAAATAAGCCTGCTATATCGAAAATTGTGAAATTACTGATTAATTAAAACACTGTTTTTGGAACGTGCGTCCGCCAAAACAAAAACACAGTACATTTCATAATAAATATCGCGATTTTCGAAAGCTTATTATTCGAAGGGTATTCATGTAAACGTCTTCAAACTTTGTATATTTGGTTCATTTCTTAATTTGGGCACTTTTTAAAACTCGTCCCCAGTCTTCTCATCCACTTCGGATTAGCTAATGAACAGACAACACAGAATCTGAATTTCACTACATTCATTGTCGTCTTTAATTGAAAATCGTATTCTCTTATTATTTCCCCCCATGTTATATGTACGAGGTTTGCAAGAAAACCATGGGTCCAGGTGGTTTTATATATGTGGTTCAGCAGGTAATGAAACGACCTAAACTCATCGATGCAGCATTTGGAGACAAAAAGTTCCAGAATCAAAACCTCAATCGAATTGATGAAGCCGTTAGAGATGGATGCATGGCATATGGACTTGCAGCAGTTCAAGAGTTCCGGAATAGCGACATGTTTCCATCTAAAAAAGCACTCGAACAGTGGGAAAAAGAGCATGGTAATCATCATGACTTACTTTTAAGTTCTTTTAAGAAGTGGATTCAACAACAAAACAGCATGGTTACTTTCCAGTACCACAGTCAGATGTTCACGCTGTTTGGTCCTTTGCGAGAACTTTATCTTTCAAGTGTGAAGCTTTGTCATGGTGTGAAACGTGAAGCAGCTTGGATGGTTATGTTACCTTTATTTGCACAATTGCAAAAGCGCAATTATTGGACGGAGGCTTTTGTGCACATTGTAAACGTAACTGCTGCTTGGCCTTATGCAATACGTAAAATCCTGGAAAGAAATTGTTCGGTGAGTGTCAATGGAAGATGCGGCCATAACATTGGCCTTGATGAATGGGTGGAAACGTATTTGGTACAACCTCTGAAAAACTATGCATCAGGCAAGTGCATAAAATATAACCCAGTAAAATACTGAAATCAATATGTATATTGTACGCTGTTTCAACAACTTGTTATCAGGTTGTGCATGTTACGAGTAAAACTAGCGTACACACGTAAAAACGCACATCTTCAGACCTTGTAATACAGTAAGTCTGTTCACAAGCTTTCAACAATTTGTGTCTGCTTGTTCAAAGCTGCTAACAAATATGGAACAGCTTGTTAACAAGTTGTAACACCCTTTTGGATTATTTGACTTGTTGCAAGGTTGTTCCAATAAGTATATGGTCTACATGTATGATAATATACTGTAACATGTTATATCAAGACTCTGTCAGACGTGTTAGAACAAACTTGTAACAAGTCTGATAATGCCATCTGGTTTGCTACAAGTTGTTAACAGCCTTGTTGCAAACTTGTTACAACAAGCTGGGAACAAACAGTGAGATTTGTTACAAGCTGTGCGTTTTTTTTTGCGCATGTACAGTATGTCCATTTGTTAGATTTCCTAATTTTTATATTCATAACATAGGACATTCAAGCGTGAACATATTGCAGCTCATATCTGCCAACCTGGATACCATTACCAAAATAAGAAACACATTCGCCGGTCATGAAGCTTTCAATGTTCACCCTACCACTTCCCACACAGAAGAAGATCCATTTCCAGACCAGCGGAAAGGAATGTGGTTTTGTTTGAAAGAGCAATTTTTCAATCCGCCTGACAACACCAACTCAATTAGGGCGCTAACAAACCAAGGTGAAGTAAAAGGCAAGGTGTCGATGACACTTCTAAATGTCTATGAGAAGGGAAAGGTCAAAGTGGCAGAAAATTTTGAACGAAAAATGTTCATGAATTTTCATGTAAAACCCAATGATACTGATAGTGACGTCAGTGACGATGAAGCAGATGCAAATACAGTAGTGGGATAATCTAATATAAACATCAACAGTTTGAATGATAATAATTGAAAGGCAATTGAAAATTGAAATTTCGTACTGTTGCCGTAACAACAGCTCACAAATTAATGTACAATAAAATAGGTATGCAAAGGAAAATATATACATAATATAAATGGATACTACACTGTAACATGGACATTTCCAAATAATGCTCAAAGTACATGCTGTACATCTACTATAAATTGGGGGACCCCCCGAGTATTTTTTATTGAATACATTACAATAGTACCACTAACGCAACCACTTATGAGTAACATCGTCTGACGTTAGACAGAGTAAATACTAGAATAGGGGGCATTTGGGCATATCGCCAGTCAATGAGTTAATTAGAGACATTGGCAGATTGGTTTGTTAACCTATTTACTGGTAGCACTCTACCACTGATGAGTAAAATTGTCTGGCATCAGACAGAGTAAATAGAGAGCTTAAGCTTCGCTTTCAACGACAAACATCAGGCAAAGAAAAATGTTATGCTATGTGAAGCTTAAACTCCCTAATACTAAAGTAGGGCACATTTGGGTGCATTGCCAATTAACCCATTGAGTGGCAGCACTATCTCACTGACGAGTAAAATCATCTGGCGTTAGACAGAGTAAAATAATAGGGTGGGGTGCATTGCCACTTAATGGGTTAATGAGTTAATTAACCTGTGCTTCTTTACGTAAACAGCAAACATGAAAATTTGTTTAATCTACGTTTCATTACATTTACTGCTATCAGAGTTACTATTGTACTGTGTCTACTACACTGTATAAGTGAGGCCACTTTCACAAACAAATCAATGGAAGAACAAAAACGTAGTATAACATTATATGGAAAAACAATTTACAGCCAACCAAAGCAGCTTGTATTCATACATGAATTTGTTTGTGTCCATTGTGTAATTTTAATGGCTACACATGTATTTATCTGTTGCACTGTAACATAGTTAGTGTAAATATAGATAACTTAATTCAAGATAAAGTGGAGTAAATGGAGGATGCGGGCATTATTTATAATGAATAAAACCTACTTCATTGTTCTTTAGTTTAGTACCATTAGGTCCAACACAAAGGTAAGGTGTAGTGCACTTTTCGCAAGATGATGGTAACTGTTCATCTAACACCCTTCCATTAATTAAGCAATGAATAAATTTTTGCAGTTGCTTTTCATTAAATTTCTCTTTCCCTTTACCATACTCATTCACATTTTGAAATCCCTTGTTAATTACAGCACTTGACTTTGATCCACGAAATGTTAAGGTCAAAAACTTTGCCGTAACCTTCGCCTGAATTCTTTGCATTCCTTTTAGACAATCAATAACATTTTTGGCCTCCATACTGTAATCCACTGGTTCTACCACGACATCAGAGACACAAATGTCACATGTTTTGTGGCATTCATCCCCAGAATGATCATCTTTGTCAAAATAATTAACTATTTGTTTTCTTCTACAAATGGGAGTTATACAATAGTTGACAATATCATTCAAACCTTGAAGTGAAACTACTTTGTGATCACTGTCTGGCAATAAACTGATATTACGCAAATGTTTCGTTCGATCCTCAAACCGAAACAGAATAAAACAGTGAGCTTCACTTCCATTTCTGCCAGCCCTTCCGGATTCTTGTGCATAACTCTCCAAATCCTTTGGTATGCTCAAATGTATAACAAATTTGACATTTGCTTTGTCTATTCCCATTCCAAAGGCCACTGTAGCACAGATGACATGAGCAGTTCCAGCTTTCCAGTTCTCAACAGTTGACTGTTTGTCATGTACATCCATGCCAGCATGAAAAAAGACTGCATTTACTCCAGCTTTTTGAAGATGGTAAGAAACTTCTACAGTGTCTCTCCTTTCAATACAGTAAATGATACCACATTGTTCAGAAAAGTTTTTTTGAATAATAGAAAGTATTGTTGCATGTGCATTAGATCTTTTCTCAACAACATGATAAAACAGGTTGGCCCGATTGGATATCTGCTTGATAACTTTTGTTTCATTTGGTAGCTTCAAATTCTTTATAATGGTTGCTAGTGTTCGAGATGTAACAGTTCCAGTCATAGCCATTATTGGGCACCCCAATGTTCCAAGTCTCCATAGCTCAGCATAACAAGGTCTAAAATGAAAACCCCAAGTGTCGATACAATGAGCTTCGTCGATGACAAAGAAATTTATCAGATTCTCGGATGAAAGTTTCGATAACAAGTCAAATACCGATGGCGATAACACAGTCTCAGGGGTAAGGAAAAGCAAGTTATATTCTGGTGGGTTGGAATGGAGCTTGTGTATGACACTCTGTCTGTCCATTTCATCCATGTCTTTCATTAGGAAGCCAACATTAAGTCTGTTTGATTTCATCCTTTCAAATTGGTCAAACAGTAGAGCTAGCAGTGGAAAAACAACAACAACAACAACAAGCTTCTGTTCCATCAAAGCTGGAACTGCATAACATAGTGATTTTCCACCACCAGTTGGCATAATAAGCAATGTATTTTGCCCTTGACAAATGCTATCAATTGCCTCCTCTTGTTTTCCTCGAAAGACGTCATAATGACACTTCTTAGAATATCAACAGATTTTTTGCCTGTCATGTCATCAATATTGATATCACGCTGGTTGATTGGCATGCTATTATCCCCTGTCAAATCCAGTGAAAGATTCTAAAAAACAAATTTAAATTGTACATCAATAAGTACATTTTACCTGAAAATAATGCACTTAGAGTATAGAAACTGACTCTTCCCCAGGTATACAGAAATAAAAAAATATGTTCATGTAAAGAAAATCAATAAATCAACCCAATGAGCCCCAGTGCACCCTACTTATATTTTTTTTACTTGTCTAATGCCAGACGATTTTACTTGTGAATGGGGAAGCTTTGCAGTTTAATTAAGGAGACTTAATTAACCAAAAAATCTGACAATGTCTCTAGTTAACCTGTTGAACTGCAATGTGCCCCAGTGCGCCCTACTTATTTTTTCTTACTTGCCTAACACCAGATGATTTTACTTGCAGTCAGGAAGGTCTGAAGCTTAATGGGATAAATTAAAATGTTTGGGCTTCATTAATAAATTTTTCCATCTAAAAGGGGTTGTTGACCTGTGTTCGTTTTCGGTGGTTCTTGTGCAACGGTTTTGTTTTTTATTCTGATTGGCCTTTACAGATATTATAATTATGGTAAGTGAAATTTCAAAGTCCTATAACAAAACATAACTAATTTTTAATTAAAGAAAACAATTTCATTGGAAAATGTCTGCAAATAACAAGGCTAGTCAAGACAAACAGTGATATCCTGGATATTTATCATCTGCCAAAATAATGTTATAAATGTCAGTGTGTATAAATTATACTTAATACCTTTCTAACAAAAATAGCTTCTGCAACTATGATTGTTAAATTCCTTTCACCAATGTTTTTTTTGGATGTCCAGAGGTTGAACTTGACGTGCAAATCTTGTGATAATACTTCCACAATGGATGGTTTTGTTCCTTCGCCATAAGATTATAGTTGGCCAAAGTGCATAAGAACGACTCCAGCTAGCTTTGCGGCTTCTTTTGTATCTTTGGCCATCACTTCAAATACAAGGCAAGCTTCGTACTTTGTTGTGACAGTATAACGAATATACTTGTCTCTCTACAGTTAAATGTAAAACAGTAAAATAAGTAAAAAAATATTGTATTTTAGGCCCTGTTTACACTATACCGGATTCGCTGGTCATGACATCTTCTTTTGCCGTTACGGAGCAATGGTTAGTAGCAAATGCTTATTAGTTTGACAGAATTGGCATGTTTATTTGGGTCTCTGAGATTAAATATATCTTCACAGCCTTTCGATACCTACAAAATTTGACCCACTCCGATAGCAATCCGGTATAGTGTACTCATTATAAACTCATAAAATATTCATTTCTTAAGCTAACCGTGTGATCCCCCATGCCGACAATTATAATAAGGTTGAATCCAAAAATATTTACCTGAAGAGAGCGTTTAGAGAAAACCCTTGCCAAGTACTGTTTCATTGCTGTGAAACAATCGACGTGCTTCTTGAGTGTGCTTCGATCTCCTTGTTGAACACTAATTCTCGGTGTTTTATCCTATAATGTTGGGCTAAATCTTGAAAAAATGCTTTTCCAGTCTCACTTCTACAAGATCTGTGCGGACATGGCAATTTCCCGTCTGTAAAAGCGTCGAATGGACACATTTCGGAGTTGAAATTTAATGCAATCCCGCCATTGTTTCTTCCGCCATTTTGAAAACAGGATATGCCAGTCGTCTCGCACCTTTCCCCCTTCCCAGCGCTCCTAGCGTGTGTGCTCACCCCGCCTGCATGCCCTTGAGTAACCTTTTCTTCCGCCCGCACTTGAAACAGAGAGACGACTGGGGACGAGTCAGATATCAGATATAAAAGATCGGATGCGAATGTTTTAACGTACTTAAAGCGAGTTCATTGGCGAAGTAATTTTAAAAATAAACATTGTGTAAGCCGAGAAAATTAAAGCTGAAGGACAAATCTTTATGCGATTTCACAAACTTAAACATTCATTTCTTTTGTATTATTCCTCATGAATTATTGTTGTATAAATAATTTTAAAATTAGGTTTCGTTCAATGTAAATAAATATAAAATATAAAAATAATAACTAATATAACAATGGAAACTTTATTAAGAAACTTTATTAAAATGGAAAAAAAAGAAACTAAATTAATATGCTCCTGTATTGAGTTAGGTTAGTTCTTTATTTATATATTCCCCTTGGAAATCAGATGTTATTAAGTAATAGATCTGAAGGGTGGCCGTTTTCAAGTAATATTAAATAAGAAGAAGAAGAAGAAGAATTAGTATGAATGAAAAATCGCATGGAATATTTGGCAAAATATTTATAGTTATTCATTTATATTGCGTTCGACCTTCGACAAAAGAGAATGCATACTAATAGACAATTCCCATTATAGACTAATTTTAAAATTAGGCAAGGACACTCAAAAGAGCATACTAAAATTAGTAAAATTACAAAGTTTGGTTGCAAAATGTTGTAAAATGGCGAAAATATATCCTTGCAAAGTTCGCAAATTTTGTATACTTTTATGTTGCTTGCAGAAATTCCTACCACATTCCTACCACATTTAGGCCGAAAATGTCGCACACAATACAAAAGTATACAAAATTTGCAAACTTTGCAAGGCTATATTTTCCACATTTTACAACATTTCGAAACCAAATTTTGTAATTTTACTAATTTTAGTATGCTCTTTCTAGCTGTGGTGATTTAATTGCATCTCCTTGCCTAGTTTTAAAATTAGTCTATAATGGGAATTGTCTATTGTGTTACAGTATTAGAGAGCTTAAGACCCGCAATGGGGTCGCCTCAACGACGTGGTCTGAATTTCAGCTCAAGAATAAGGCAAGCGCTAAGCAATTTCATTGCTGTAATAAAAGTTCAAATAACAATACAAACTGCTAAGTTCGACTAAAGCGATGCAATTTTTGGTGTAATTTCGACTTTAAGTAACATCTTTTGGGTCGCAATAAGCTTCGCGTTGCTTGAAAGACGTGATAATGCTTAGTTAACGCAGTTAACGGTAACGTAGGCTCATATCCGTGCCGACTAATCTCTAATACAATCGGAACCGTTTTTAACCAATCAGAATCGAGTGAATGGATTAAAATGATATTATATAAATAATAATTATTATTATTTTTAATTAATTATTCAATTAATTAAAATTTTATATTCTAATAATATAGTCATCATCTTTACAGGTAACAGATTTTTTAGCAAACAGAGGAGTTTTTGCCAGTGTTATTGCAAAATTTAAGTCTGAAAAGGTAAAATATGATTTAGTTCTTAAACTACATTGTTTTTCATATTTTAATTGTTGCAATTTTTGCATAAACATAACATTCAAATTTGCTCATGCAAGAATGATAAATGACTTTGTGTATGGTAATAATTATACTTGGATGCTACTGTCATTTTGAATAGATGCATGCATGGATTGCATGGTTATAATCAACCAACAAGAATGTTTTCGCATGAATACAAAATTGTTGTGTTTATGTCCAGTATAATGAATAGATTTCGGTTTCCCGTAAATGTTTCAAGCTTATTTGGCAAAATATTTATAATTAAAAATTATGCTTCAAAAACACATTCAAGTATATTTCTAAAAGGGTTAGTTTTCAATGAACTTAATTAAATAATTCATGTCCAAGTTTAGTATATTAGTATAAGTGTCAAGTTTGATATTACATATATATACAATGCTATACGTTTGCTTCCTCCACAAACACTACATGCACAATGGGAAGGTTAAACACAAATTTTGCAGGACTATCTACTGGAATCTTTCTTGTAAAAATTAATTTAGTCATTATTTTGGCAATTAAAGATGCATTGATACATAATTACATAATCAACTAGTGATAATTTCAGACAATCACAATTCAGCTTTCAGCCAAAATCATATTTCAGAATGGTGTTGATTGATTATTTGCTCATATTGTTTGTGAGTTTACTTTTGATGCAAGCTTGGGAAGTTGCCTTGGAAAGTAACATCAAAGGTTTCATGAATGTTTATTGGCTATAGATAGTTGTAAGAATATTTATTGTTTATGGGCGGAACATGAACAAAGAACCACTTTATATTGATTTATTAAGCATCAATTTAATCACACTTTTTATTTAGATGGATATTTGTGCAGTTGCAAATGCATCAGATAAAATCCTGGAAGAACTTGGACTCACAAAAGCTGGAGACAGATTAAACCTTCTTGCTTACTGCAAAAGTTTGGATATTAACTGCAGTGGCAATATAACATCAAATGAGGAGTCTAACAAAAAGAGAAGGGTTCTACTTGATGCATTCTTGTCTAGGAAAAAAATCGACAAAAACATATCACGAAACAAAGTAACAAACCAACCAACCGTGAGGTTTCACTCCAACAAGACAAACAGATGAACAAAATTAAAACCAAAAAAGTTATTCTTGGATGGAAACATTTCCGAGATGAAGACAATGCCTACATGCTTGTCCCTTAGCAAAAGGGGGAGGCAGTCGAACAGTTGAGGTTCCAGTAAACACCACTAGAACTGAACTGATAAAAATATGCAAGGACCTGTTCTATCCACATGAACAATCAATATTTGGAGCATCAGATGAAATGTTTATGGACTTTTAAAATTTTAAAGATGAAAAAATTAATGAGGGTATACGCATTGGGGATATTAATGAGGGTATACGCATTATGTCATTCATTGGGGATCGCATTATGTCATAAGATTAAAACAGTTCGAGTATACCTGAGAACGAAAAAACTATCTATAGATCTGGATAGTGATGGTGAAATGCAGGACGGACCATTTGACAGTATTTCTCAGCCTCAGGTTAGTGAATTATGTTGCTTGAAAAACTCATTCTTTTGCAAAGAAAGTATGTTCTGATTGTTTTGGTTAGAGCATTCCCATGCATCATTGTGCAACATTATTTTGGGAGCGAATTTGAGGGACGAGGGAAGAGTCTGAGACTCCGGTTCATATCTAATTATGGAATGCATCATTATACTAACTGGTAGCCAAAAAAATAAATGTGGAGTTTTTCGTGAACCCAGTGAAGCATTTGATATTGATCATGTACATGTATTTTGAATTACTTTTGGGGAATTATAAAATCATTCTGATTACTAGGGAATTGATATTCATGTGTATTTTTTCTACTTTCACAAGTACAGTTTCCAATAAATTAGCCCTTGTCGTATTTTATATGAACATGCAACAGCTGGACTGCTATAACTTCTGTGAAGGCACAAATAAAATGTTGTTATTGTTATTTAAGGAGGATACAGCACAGCAACAAAGCCCACAAACGTTTTCATTAATTGGATCATCAGAAGATCGAAAGACTTTAAAGGAGAAACAAGATGAAGAATATCAGATGTCACTGGAAATGGATAAAAAACCCACTGGTAATGAACATTATGAAATATGTGACAAAGAGCCTAAAGAGCAACTTCAAGATGCGCATAAAGCAAGAGTGGTGCCAGAACCTTGTACCAACTTTGTTGCTGTGAAGATTAGACATCCGTCATTAGGACTTCTTTCAAGGCGATTTCCTCATAACACCAAGATGCATGCTGTTTATGATTGGGCAGGCTCACTGTGTACAGACCCTGCATACTTTATTTTAACTGATCCGTCATCTGGAAATATCATACAACCCAGCAGTCTTGTATACGATAAATATACTTTAAACATGGTAGAATCTTCTAACAGAACACCATCGCTCTTAGAGTCAGATGATGAAGTTCAATTTTTAGGGTTTGGGTAAACATTGTCGTCAAGGTAATTGTTTCATGAATAGTTAGTATCAACTAAAGTCTGGCATATAATGTAAACTGGCCAGTATATCTTTACTAAGAACCATCTTTAATCAGTCAATAGGCCCGTTTATATACTTGCAATTTTTGCTGCGGTTTCTAGTGCGAGTTTTGACTCACGGATGTTGCTTCGCAGAGTCTTTGTGCTCACTTGAGTGTGGGGCGAATGTGGGACAGTTAAACAATGGGAAATGACCAGCCTGCTTTGCGCGCACTGTTTGCCTGCGAGTCGGACGTCGGACCTTTCAGAACCGGAAATCAAGCTGGAGCACGCATTCGTTCTTTTGATTTGGCAAACGCAGTGGTCAACTCGAAAGCCTAGGCTACTTTGATCACTGTGCACAAATGTTACTTTCATAATAATCGTTTATAATGTAATCTATGGTATTTAGTTTTCTGTAATATTTTATGTATTTTGTGTATTTCTGTATAAATGTGCGAATCCTAATAAAATCCTAAATCCTAAAAACGAAGCACGACAAATGGGTGAAATAGCAAAATTAGCACAGTGCTCGGTTTGCAAAAACAACTGCAAACTGCTCTAATTCTTTCTCTACTTTCATTTGATCATATCCCTGAGTTGGCCTCAACGGCCTTTGATCTTCTTCTGATGGTTGTAAAAGGAGTAAATGACTTACGAATGCTTTGCGTATGTGTAGTGATGTGTACCCTCATCTGAACATTCATAATACATTTACTCGTTCACATGCATCAGAGGAAAATCGCAGCAAAAATGCACTTGTAAGCAGGCCCATGGTATAGAAATTCTGTCTGTATTCGATAGGTAATTAATGTTTGATTCCTGACATTCTGGTATATTGTATATTATTTTATAGTGTCGAGAGCTCGTCAGAAAAATTTACTTCGCAGCAGGAACCTATACCAACCTGTCCAAACAAGTAATGAAGCATAAACTGTATCAAAAACTACGGCAAAATAAAATGAACTAATTGATTATTTAATTATATGAAGCCGCGGTCGGGTCATGAGATCCACTGAGTAGAATGCCATTCAAAAACTGACAGAATTTGCTTCTATTTATGTCGTTAAATACAATGATCTGGGATGTTTTTATGTTAGCGGCATATATGTGGTGACATGCAACCGTATTGGTGTCAAAACACAGTTTTAGATGCCCCAAAAATCTATATAATAATACCCAGTTATGTCAGTTGAAACATGAGCATATGACTAATTGGCCTTATATACTGAATAGATTTGATTATCATTTATAGAAATTTAGTGCAGGAAGAAAGAGATCGCAGTTGCTTGGACGCATATTATGCATCTCTTCTGGAAATGACTGATTCATTGACCAAATTTTGAAGATGCGAGCATCTGTATCGATGAAGATAAAGCAAATGCTAACCAATGCTAGCCAAAGAAGATTGCAGCTTTAACGGCGAAGTGGTATGTGATTGGGCGTGCCAACGCATCGTTTGAGGCTTTCGAAAATGGTCTTTCCGCCTTAGGAGTTCTTGATGCGATCAGAAGAAACCCAAGAGCCTTTGAGTCATCATTCTGTCATACCCCTTCAAATCTTACCATAGACACCTTTGGTAACCTATTTAAAGTTGATGATAGTCCAGTTGGCTCAAACAAAGCTTTTACTGAGAGCTTGGTGCTTTCCCGATGGTGAGATTATGTCCAAGATATTGAAGAGGGAGAAGAACCTGTTGAACTCAATGTCCTTTTCTTCACAACAGGATGCAAAGTTTTGCCAGCCAGAAATATTTATCCTACCATTGAATTTTTACATGATATTGAAGAATGGGGAGAAAAGTCAAGGTTTCCTAAAAGCAATGCATGTTCTGCTATTTTGCGTCTTCCAGTTGTACACAGCACCTATGAGTTCAAAGTAGACATGAACTTTGCAATTCAAAATGGACGAGGTTTTGGTTTGCCCTAATTGCCGATAAGTAACCTATAAAAAAAACTTGGTACTGGCAGTTGGTATATGCCACACTCTACAAACACCCTGGTTAAAAATATCCTTTTTAAACTAAAATTTACACTGTTTGGGGAAACTTAATGTTCCTGGTTAAATATCCTGGATAATTTAACCACAATCCTGGTTAATTTGCAATTGATTACTATCGTTGAAAATTTAACCACAGATTATGTTAGTTGCATTGTTAACCAGGAATTATTGGTTAACAATCCACCTAACATAATCCGGTCATTTCAACCATTTAGCCTGGTTAAACTAACCAGGAATCGTAGCTAACGTAGCCAGGACTATGATCAAATTAATCAGGACTGTGGTTTTGTTACCCAGGAACATTAAGTTACTACAAACAGTGTTAATTTTGAATTAGTTTAACCAAAAAATTTTATTTAAAAAATTTTAAATCATATTTTAACCAGATTGATTTTAGATTGCTTTGCTCTAAACTGATGCAAATGACGAAAATCATAATTTATATTTAGTTCATATTTTGTTCATTTAATGTTGACTGTTGTATTCCATATTTTTATTAAGTTTATTGGAACTGGCAGAGCCAGAGGGAATGGGACAATTTTGTACCAGAATTTTTTTATTGGGACAACAATTCTATGAAAACTATAAAAGGCTGTGAATCTTCGAAGGTGAAGATTCACAATTAAAACTTGCTGTTTCACTTGAGTTGTTTATTAATTAATGGAACAGAATGCAAGAAGTTTCATACAAGGCTCAATTGGTTCTAATAAAAATGGGTGTCTAAATGCCAAATTTTAGGCTGTGTGTTCTTGTAGGTAAACTTAAAAATGTCAACTAAACTCTCTCATTTTTGTATTTTTTTTCTCGATTTCCATTGCTACATAAAACGTGATAAAAAGTCTCACCATAATTCATAAGCACATGTACATAATGAATTGACCATTTGCATAATAGACTAAATTTTGATCTCAACAAAAATTTCATTACAGCTTGAAAGAGCATCACAAAATTAGTAATATTCCAAAGTTTCGTTGCAAAATGTTGTAAAATGCGGAAAATATAGCCTTGCAAAATTTGCAATTTTCAGTCATTTTAGATGACAAACCGGAAATTGACAGCCTCGAAGGGTTGGGGCTGTCAATTTCCCATTTGTAATCTAAAATGACTGAAAATTGCAAATTTCGCAAGGCTATATTTTCCGCATTTTACAACATTTTGCAACGAAACTTTGGAATATTACTAATTTTGTGATGCTCCTTCAAGCTGTGATGAAATTCTTGTCTAGACTTGTTTAGTTCAAAATTTAGTCTATTACGCACATGGTCAATTAGCAGTCTGTCTAAAATCTCACAGAAACGATTTTTTGTGTTGTTGGTGTTATGTGTACTCAGGTGAATATGATGTTTGTAATGTTACTCTGAGTGGAAATCAACACCGGGCAAGCTTGAAAAATATACCTGGCCACGGTGGGAATCCAGAGCATTGGACTAGTATCCCAAAGGTCGCGGGTTCGATTCCCACCGTGGTCAG